TCATCAGCCAATGGCTGGCCTCGGACGACCTTGGTACCTTGTACCAAATATCCCGAGGTATGACGTCTCTATATTCATGTAACTAGGGGTACACTTAGGGCTACGTACCCCGCTACAACTTTGCCAACAACTTGAGTTCTCAAATACCTTTGCTATTTCAGCGAGGTTTTATTCTGATTCTTGAGGTTTTATACCAAAATTTTAGAAATCGAAATACCTGGTTTCCAAAGTGTTGTTTTCCACGAGCCAGCTATTTCGATTGAGCTGGTAAAATTAGGCAGATTTATTGAAATTGCCATTTTTAGCGAAACCACTCGAAACACGGCCTAAGTTTTGAGATCATGAACGATTCCTTCATTTTACTTGATTTCTGTATCACTTCTTCTTGCACATTTACAGACAACGACGGTGAAATCCGCCATTCCATACAAATCCGCCACGAACACTTGAAGTTCAAAATAAAAGATTTGAACAAGTTTTTATTTTAACCAATGATAGAGTAAATTGAATCGACTGGTTCCTACGGGTAGCATAACACATATAGTTAGAATTTCTATCACTCTGGAAATGGCGCCTCATCCAAGACTTTGCGGGTGCCCAAACCAGCAAAACCTTGAAGGGCCAGAGTGCAGCGCCGTTAATACACTTCTCTCACGATTTGGTAACCTTTATGAAGGATGTGCGACGAGAAGAATGGGTAAACCGCCTTCTTATTAATTTACTTTTTACATTGTGACCTAAAACCGCTTGTTGCTTAGTATTTGTACAGATTTACTGATTCAATATTTCAAAGAGCAGCAAACGCGATGGCTTCAAACGTATCTTGCTGGTAAGGAAAGCGGTGAGAAGGGTCTAAGTGCGTTTATGAGACTATGTCAGCGGTTTGCAGCACGGTAATATCTTTTGATTTTGCTGATTTTATATAATTGCTTTATTAAATAGTGTGATAGTCGTGGAGCTACTAACACATCCGGTTGGTCATGTATACTCAGTGCAGGAGAGCAGTTTATGGATGCCAAAGTGTGGGCGATATATGTACGAGAGCTGCTCAAGTTCGAGATCGAGGCACTATCAGTGCTTATACTCGATAACTTCGACGCACATGTTTCAAAAGAAGGACTTGATGTTGTTGTCGAGACAACGTCGGCCCTGGTTTGCCAGCTACCGCCCAACAGTACAGCGGCCTGCCAGCCACTAGACGTTGAGGTTTTCAACTTTGCTTTTTGCTAATTAATTCGTTTTATCTACCAATAAAAATGTGCGACGGATTTTCCTGTCGCGAAAACAAAAAAAGAACTACTATGGAGGATGGCGTTCAGAGGGTGGCGAGGAAATACCATCGGTCAGTAGAAAACTACTGATCTGTCCCCAACGCGGCGCTGCCTGCACAACTACTGATTTCACAGCTACTGGGGTGCTGTTAAGTTCGCATTTGCATTTTCTTTTAGTGCTGCCTCGTCTGGTGTTAAGTTCGCATTTGCATTTTCTCTTAGTCCTGCCTCGTTTGGTCTATCAGTCTCTGACTCCGGCGCGTTGGCTGCTCGCGACGCTGGGTTCGTCTTCCCCGCGTAGATTGATAGACCCAGACGAAATTGACTGACTCGTGTTCGAACACCATCTTTAGGCGCGCTGGCACGTTGGTACTTGGCTCCCACGTCAACTCTGTGTACCCCACCCATTGAATAAGGTAGTATACGAAGTTATTGACCCACCGTTTGGCGTATATTCTTTCTACCTCGAAGAGCTAAGCATTGTCTCCTCTACGAGCTCGGCGCTCGTTTGCAAAAAGACCTCCTCCTCTACTGACAACGTCACGTAACCCACCACCTATGGACGATGCACGCTCGGCGTCCAGCTCTCGGTCGACTTCTTTCGGTATGCTAGCTTCTCTGCTTAGACGAAGCTGTCAAAAGGAGCTGTCCAGACGTCGCTGGATCGTTCGGGCGTGACGCTGTCGGGGGTTGAGCGGAGGCATCGACCAAAATGGCGAATGCCACCGAAGTGCACTCCACAAAAACAACCATATAAATAAAGGCGTTTTGAGCAGCTAAAAAATAGTACACAGAAATAACATGTTGACGTTGAAGTAGCTGGGTACACGACGTATCCAACTGGTTACTCTCAGGGTACGTTAGTAGAGTTCTATCTACTCACAGAGATTGACTCCCCAGTCCGTTTGCTGCTGATATTTATTGAGAGTGAGGATCAGTAAGATAATCTATTGGAAAGAAATACCTTGATTATTAATCAGCATGCAACGATTGCAATTGTTTGTGTCGTTAGTGATTCAACAATCACTATGGGTGATCGGATGCAGGAAAGAAACTCTGCTAGCGCTGCTGAACACTCACAAGGAGCTCGCGGCCAAGCTTCGATCAGTTAAATATCTTCACGTTGTACGAGAATACAACGCTGACGCGG